CTGTTTTTTTTTTATGGTATATCAAAAAGTGTATATTTTTTAAATGTGATTGTTGGTACATTTGACCAGTTTTTACCATACTTTCAAAACAAAAATTAAAATAGGAAAAATATGCAATATGAAAATAATTGAAGACAAAATGTGTTTTACTGAGAAAAAACAAGATTTGTACAAAAGGTACATCTGGAAAAAGGGGGGGGGGTCGTCTTATAATCAGGGTCGTCTTATATTCGGGCCGGCCAATACGGTAGAAAACAAAACAATAAATAAATAAAATTTATTTATTTATTTATTTATTTATTTATTATGCCTTTCAAGCTTTAATTAATTTAGTTGTTTGTAGTCTGAAAAGCAGACAACTAAATAAACTAAAATATAATAATTGAGATAAAATACATTTACATTTATTTGTATGTATGTATGTATTTTTATTTATTTATTTATTTATTTATTTATTATGCCTTTCAAGCTTTAATTAATTTAGTTGTTTGTAGTCTGAAAAGCAGACAACTAAATAAACTAAAATATAATAATTGAGATAAAATACATTTACATTTATTTGTATGTATGTATGTATTTATTTGTTTATTTATTTATTTTCCCTTTCCAAATGTAATCAATTTAGTTAATAAATAATTTAGTTATTTATAATAAATAACATTTTTATTTATTTATTTTGCCCCTTCAGCTTTAATCAATTTAGTTGTTTGTAGTCTGAAAAATGGACAATAAAATAAAGTAAAACAAATGTCAAATTGTATTTGTTTGTTTATTTATTCAGCTTTTACAAATGTATTCAGTGTAGTTGTTTGTAGTCTAAAAAAAGCAAACAATAAAAATAAAATGAAATATAAAACAATACCGTTCTGTTTGCTTTTGTTGATTTCTCCAGGTGGCTATTTATTTATTTATTGTTTGACTAATTTATTTGCCATTCTGACACAAATCCATTTTGTTGTTCATAGTCTGAAAATTATAATAATAATATTAATATAAAAAAATAAAATAACAGTAAATAAATAAATAGATATGTGTCAAACCAAATTCCTGTGTGGAGTGAATTTGATTTAAATCTGATTTATTAAAATGTGTTTCAGTTTAAATTGTTAGATCAAAATGTGTTTTTCTGGATACTTCATACACAATGCACACAATTAAAACTTAGATTTCGCTAATTTTTACTAATTCCTACCCCATATTTTGAATTTAGCAGCTTATACACTATATATTGCCACTAATGGCACCAAACAGAATTGCAGTGATACTGATCGCTGCCAAACGTTGCAATTCCATTTATTGCTGCTAGTGGTGCAGAAATTACATACTTAGACCAGTTTGTTTCGTATTAAATGGAGGTCTTACTTATAATCTTACTTATAAGCACAGCTGTGACTTAAAATGCATGAAAAGCATATGATGGCGTATAGATGGATATAACGTCCCTCATGCAAATCTGGTCAATAAGACATAGTGTTTAATATGGTTTGAATTGGCACCCTGGAGTGGAGTGTCATTTGGCGCTTACATTACTCCTAATGGTGTAGACATTAAATGCAACTGCCCTTGAATTAGACTCACCTCTCAAACGCTCGCTCTGTTATTTCTCTAACATTAGGTTCATTACCGCAGCCAGACTATTAGTCGTTTAAGCTGCAGTTTGAAAGCTTTCGAATGCAGTCAATGAAAGGTATGTAACTGATATTTTCAAAGGCTTTTTATGAGTGCTCTTTTGTTGAGAGTCAAGTGAAGGAGATTGTCTGGAAGTCTGCTCTCATTCCCATTGGAAACGAGTGGGAATTTTTGCACCTTGAGCCCGGAGACGGGCGGCAGGTGTTCGTGGGTGAGTCTGGATGCAGATCAGGTGAATCTCCCCAGGAGAATCACAAAAAACAGGTTCTTGAGAGAGAAGAGAGCGTGAATCACCTGTGTGGGAGCTGCTCTGATTGTGCTACATCCGTTGGTGTCCGAAAATGGAGATGTAAAACAATATCATGCTCCCACGCATGATTAAAGCCGTAGCTCACCCAGAATGGAATATTCTGGCTAATCTTTTACTCGCTCTAATGTTGTTCCAAACCTTTCTTTCTTCTACTACACAAAAGGAGATATTTAGAACAATGTCCATGCTGCTCTTATCCAAAAAGGCAAAAAAGAAAGCTTGTGTATATACATTTGACAGATTCTTTGGACTTCAATTCAAGACTGCATTCAAGGTATATTTTATCAGTTTGTCTGGTGCCCACAAATATAACCCATGATTTATCAGGGTTGTGCACCATTCAGAACTGAATTGAGGGTGCCTTGCAGAATTGCATTTTGAATTTGAATGTAAGAAGAATTCAAATGAATTCAAATTCAGTAGTGCTTTCACATCAGAAACATTTTTTCCTCCTTCTTATTTTTAATATGTTAGTAGAATTCAGGTTTTATACAATACGGTTGTTCAAGTGGATTGATTGATTTTTGGATTGACTTATTTATTTATTTGATTAATGGAATATTCTGGCTAATCTTTTACTCGCTCTAATGTTGTTCCAAACCTTTCTTTCTTCTACTACACAAAAGGAGATATTTAGAACAATGTCCATGCTGCCCTTATCCAAAAAGGCAAAAAAGAAAGCTTGTGTATATACATTTCACAGATTCTTTGGACTTCAATTCAAGACTGCATTCAAGGTATATTTTATCAGTTTGTCTGGTGCCCACAAATATAACCCATGATTTATCAGGGTTGTGCACCATTCAGAACTGAATTGAGGGTGCCTTGCAGAATTGCATTTTGAATTTGAATGTAAGAAGAATTCAGATGAATTCAAATTCAGTAGTGCTTTCACATCAGAAACATTTTTTCCTCCTTCTTATTTTTAATATGTTAGTAGAATTCAGGTTTTATACAATACGGTTGTTCAAGTGGATTGATTGATTTTTGGATTGACTTATTTATTTATTTGATTCATTATGTTTTTAACACATCCAAAATTGAACTCACTGATCTGTGGTGCCGTCTAAAGCTGTCAGGTGTTCGTTTCTCCTTCATGAGCACAGGAAGTGAGAACTGCATAGGTGAGATAAAAACTCTACTCTTTATTGCCAGATGGGGAGAGCATCTTTTCCACAGTTTTACTAGGATCAGCTGCTTATAAAATTTGCATGATCCACATTTAACCAATTATAAGTGCTGATGCAATCAATATGCAGCCAATTAAACACTTTAGATGGCAACATGTTGGACTGCAATCAAGTCTGTTGCTGCAACTCGGAATTACCTGCATCCTATTTAGAAAAATTGCAGTAGCATACAAATATAAGTAGGAATATCCCACATCTCACTTTAAAATATTAGGCTGCATCCTAATTTGCCTACTGTGCATTCTTATAAGTATGCAAAATTAGCATTAGTGCATCCTAAATCATATTGATTGGTTCAGTATTTTCATAATATGCATGGTGTTTGAACTAATATTGACCATAGAGGTGTTACTCATTAGGACGCCATCAAAAAATATGATTTAGAATGCACTAGTGCTAATTTTGCATTTTACAAAGAATGCATAGTATACGCAAATTAGGATGCAGCCTAAAATTGTTTGTACTGTAACACCATTGGTACTTTAGTATATTGTTGAGCTGTAGAAAATAATGAAATGTACTTGGCTAATATTACCCAAATCATGGTGTGCTATGATTAGAGATGGTTATTTTGTTATTTTTGTTTCGGAAGACATTTCAAGAAGCACTTGTGTGATGTGTGAACCTAAAAATGAATGATGAATTGAAAAATAATGCAGATGCTAAACTTACATGCAAACACAAATAGTGTGCAACAAAAAGCTTTTTTATTTCATTTGAAAACACTGTTTGATGACTATACTACTGTATGGCCCAATACTTCCATACTTTGTCTTACTACATACTCAAAAGTACATACTCACCATTATCAGTGAAGCACATACTTAGTGTGTAGTAGAAGAATGCAAATTGTGCAGCAGCCTGTGAGTCAGTGGAGTGGAAAATGAATCTGTTCATGAATGTAGATTTCTGTGAAACATCTGTCACACGGACTTTCTGGGAAAGTTTCCTGACATATTGAGCAGGTTGAAGTGACTTATCACCATTAGCACAGAGGAGTGGGTTGTTTCTGTAGAGCTGGAGCTTTTCAATGATGGTGACGCATGTAATGAATCTATAACATGCTGAGCGGCCCACGTGTTCTGAGAACTGTGTCAAGAGACGATTTATCCTACGTTAAAAACAATACATCAAACACTTTATATAAGATTTGTAAGATTCCATTGCTGCATTTTTATGCTAATTTATAAAGTCTTGTTTTCCTTTTATACCTTGCAATGAAGTAAATAAACTAATTAGGCAGCATTTGCAGAAAATAATACTATAATGCATGTTGTTATAGATGAATTGCATTAATTGCATTGCATTTTATTACAGATAAAATATGTACTCTTATGTTTCTCCTTTTGCTACCAATGAAACTAGTTGACAGATACTTTTGAAAAGCCTTTCCTGCAGTTTAATGTGCTGTACTTCATCTAAATTGATTAAAATCATGTGCTAATTTATTTATAATTATTATAATTAATCGTGCAGCATGAGCTCATTAATTGAAAAACTTCATGGAATATTTGTACGTATAAAAATGCATTTCTCACACCTCAGACCTTTTTAAAATGGAACTAGTGAAGACAAAAAAGTGTTTGAAAATGTTTTGAATCACTTTGACCCAGAAACACTTTGGAGTTTTAAGCTCTGAAATAAAAAGCACAGTCTCAGCCATCATTTGAATAATGATGCGTCTGCAACAGTCTGAAGTAGAGATGTAAAAATAATCATTCAATTTTTACTTGAAAGCACAAAACTTGTGTGTTTCTGAGTCGAAGTGACTCAAAATGATGGACCAAGTTCAGACTTCAGGTCATTATTGTACTGTTACTCATGATTCTTAACCTTTGACATTTCTTTCTTTCTTTCTTTCTTTCTTTCAGAGGTTGGCTAGAGAGGCTGAAGACATGCAACGAGAGCATTCATGGCAAGACGGAATCAAAGTAAGATCAACTGTTACAATCTTACTCAATTTACTCAGTCGTTTGCTTTCTTTCAGTAATGGTAGAAGAGAAATAATTACCACTGAAATAAAAAGCACAGTCTCAGCCATCATTTGAATAATGATGCGTCTGCAACAGTCTGAAGTAGAGATGTAAAAATAATCATTCAATTTTTACTTGAAAGCACAAAACTTGTGTGTTTCTGAGTCGAAGTGACTCAAAATGATGGACCAAGTTCAGACTTCAGGTCATTATTGTACTGTTACTCATGATTCTTAACCTTTGACATTTCTTTCTTTCTTTCTTTCTTTCAGAGGTTGGCTAGAGAGGCTGAAGACATGCAACGAGAGCATTCATGGCAAGACGGAATCAAAGTAAGATCAACTGTTACAATCTTACTCAATTTACTCAGTCGTTTGCTTTCTTTCAGTAATGGTAGAAGAGAAATAATTACCGCCACAGACTAGTAGTTTCAATGAATTAGTGTTATTGTAGTAGCATTGATATACTAGTAAAAAAAAAATTTATATTTAGAATTTGAGTTTATTTTTAATTGGTGTGTGTGTTTGTTTGTCATTTTTATTTATTTATTTTAGTTTTTTGTATATATTGTGTTGATATAGTTTTAAGCTAAAAAAAATATTTTTTATTTAATTTTAAAAAACATATTTTAGTACTTAAACTAAACAAAAATAGGAAATGATGCTTTGGAAACTAGCTAAAAGTTTTTTTAAAAATATTTTGTTTCAGTTAATGTTTATTTCAAAAAAATGTTTTTTTAAGGTTTTAGTCTTATTTAATGATAATAACCATGCCATGAAAGACCTTTCCAGAGTGGAAATGAAAAGTTTGTCAGACAGACATACAGAAATTCTAAAGCTGCTAAAGTATTGGCATGTCAATAAATACCACACTTACCTTGTTTTCTTCTATAGCTAGCTGGCAAAAGTTCAGTGTATCAGCCGGGCCGTATTTTTACATAGGCGCACAGTTGCTTTGAAATGGTCCCTGGTCTGGGACGCCCCATTGACTACTGACTGAGGCTTTTTTTCAGTGCAATCGACTGGCTTAGTTAGTCATGTTGTCAAATGCTAGAGTAACTCTTTCAGTGGAGCTCCTTGAGCAAAACCCGCGGGCGCCCTCGGAGGGTCGAGCTCAGATGCCACGGCTGCATTATGAGGAACAGTATGAATCTGTGAGCTTATATGCAGTGACAACCAAAAGATTGTGTAGATTGCTGATTAGTTTGATATTTCACATTCACTTGTAACCCTTACATAAAAATTACTATGGTACATCATATATATATATATATATATATCCTAAATAAAAAAACTTTTTTTGTAAATTACAAAAAGCTTTAAATTTTTCAACATTATGATTTTTTGATAATCTCATTTTATTTATTAAATTTCGTCAGAGCCTGTTTTTTAGAGTAGGGTTGTTCATGGCTACAAAAGCAGACACCATACAAATGCACTCTATACGTACGACACACACAGACATAAACACACATACATGACACACACACACACACTGCTGTGTGATGTCGGCTGTCTCCATGGAGACCGTGCCTTGCTGTCATGCTACACTTCCCACAAATGGATTTTTAACCCCGTTGCTCCCGCGGGATATTTGAGAAAAGGCTCTAAAACTAATAATTATGAGACCTCCTCTCTGAGAGCCCATCTCTATTCATGGCTGCTTAGCCACTTAAGTCAGCAGTGATGGAGGGAGGCGATGGAGGACGCAGGCCGCTGTCTGTCACCCTGTATGCGGCCGCATCAGCTCATATGACCTGAGAGACTTCTGATAGTCTGCAGATCATATTATACATGCACAAGCACATATATAGACTTTTTTCCCCTGTATATCACCAAACAGTGGCTGTTTCGGAAGATTTTGTAAAGACTTGGCTGTCTTTGTAGGTTGGTTTTATTTTTAAAGTCGGCATGAAATGAAAATTCACCCATTCTATATTCTTAATGCATGTTATTGATCTTATTGATAATTATTAATTCATACATGTTTTATTTAGATTATTTTTTTTGTGCCCTTGTAATCATAAAGTCGCCATGAAATGGAAATTGACCCTATGGTCGACCACCATGAATGTGGATCACAGCTGAGATCATTTGAGAGTTTAATGAGAAATATTTCAAGCTCATATTGAGATCTTAGACTTTAGTATCGTAAATACTGAAGTCTGCGATCAACAAAAACACAATAATCCACAAGTAATCCACACCACTCCAGTCCATCAATTAACATTTTATGATGTGAAAAGCTGCATACTTGTAAGAAACAAATCTATTACCAAGGTATTTTAACTTTAAACCATCACTTCTGGTTAAAATAGCCTAGTCCATAATCTATAATAGTTCTTCCTCCAGTGAAAAAGTCCATCTCCTGTGGTCCTCTCTCTCGTTAACTGATGGACTGGAGTGGTGTGGATTACTTGTGGATTATTGTGATGTTTTTATCAGCTGTTTGGACTCTCATTCTGACGGCACCCATTCACTGCAGAGGATCCACTGGTGAGCAAGTGATGTAATGCTATATTTCTCCAAATCTGTTCCCATGAAGAAACAAACTCATCTACATCTTGGATGGCCTGACGGTGAAAATTTCCATTTAGACTGATTGCGCGTTGCTTGGAGAAACAATTGAGACGTTAATGAGATCTCATTTATGCATTGGAAAGTATTGCTAGACTATTGAGATCGGTCACAGCACAAACACATGTTGACTTGTGCTTGTTTCCTAATGTTAAAGGTCAGAACTATGGCACATTTCACATCTTTCTTTTTCAGTCTGTCGTTCTTTGTTTCATCACGTCTTTCGTCTGTCTGTTTTTGTAGTATTCATTTAGCCGTCTTTCATATACGGCTTCTCTCTCTCAGTTTTCATCACTCTCTCCTCTGTGCTCACCTTCCTCTTTCACTATCTCTCTCTTTCCTCTTGCACCTCCCTTTTATCTGTCCTCGTTTCTAATCAGGCGTGAAAACAGTTTGAAAATATCATATTGTTGCAAATACTGCAGTTGAATCCTAATGGTGTGTGGACATTAATAATGTATTGCGGGGCTGATTTCATTTGCCTTTATAATTAGGCCAGGTAATGAAGCACTGTAGAGGCCAAACCAATTCACTGTCGAGACGAGCAAGAGGAGGGGCGTCGAGGATGCTGGGATACGGCGAGGGGTCTCTCCATTTGTGGGTTTTAGATTGGTAACAGTTTCAACCTCTCTTTTGGAGCGACGCTGTAATTAGATTAGTCTCACATGCTCTTTAGCACATTAGGAGCGCAAAAACACATTCATCTCAGAGCAACAGCTGGAGGGAAAACGAGAGACGGCGAGAAAAAGGGGCCGTTCGTGTCGCATGGATCAGATGCAAAATGGTATCATGCTTAGAAATAGTGTTGGGAAAGCTAGTTTGAAGTAGTTAAAGGGATAGTTCACCCAAAAATGAAAATGTGATGTTTATCTGCTTACCCCCAGGGCATCCAAGATGTAGGTGACTTTGTTTCTTCAGTAGAACACAAACGAAGATTTTTAACTCAAACCGTTGCAGTCTGTCAGTCTTATAATGGAAGTGGATGGGAATCACGGCTTTGAGAGTAAAAAAAAACATACTCAAACAAAACCAAATTAAGCCCTGCGGCTCGTGACGATACATTGATGTGTTAAATTATACAATTGCTTTTTAAAATTGTAGTTAATTACTGATAATGTGAGTGTCTCATGTGTTCAGTGTGACAGTTTAAAAAAAGATTTTGTCCTTTTAAATAATTGCACTGCTTTTATTAGTAGCGTTGGGGTTTGACTGTTGTTTAACTACTTTAAATAATGGGTAGTTTTAAAGTAGCTTCCGCAGCTCCCCAAATCATATCATATGATATGCATACGCTCGTTTTCTAACTAGCAAAGCTGGTAAAATCGCCTTCCATAGATGGTCTTTTCACGTCGAGGTCACAGCTTGCATTGAGGCCCTGACACAAATGAAATGTCCTTTAGTGTGCGCACAGTACACAAGCCTCATCACTTTTAAATAATTGCACTGCTTTTATTAGTAGCGTTGGGGTTTGACTGTTGTTTAACTACTTTAAATAATGGGTAGTTTTAAAGTAGCTTCCACAGCTCCCCAAATCATATCATATGATATGCATACGCTCGTTTTCTAACTAGCAAAGCTGGTAAAATCGCCTTCCATAGATGGTCTTTTCACGTCGAGGTCACAGCTTGCATTGAGGCCCTGACACAAATTAAATGTCCTTTAGTGTGCGCACAGTACACAAGCCTCATCTATTTGTTAGTATACTATCCCCGCATGTCCACGTGTGTGCTTGTCTATGCATGGCCAGCTGTGGGAACGAGAACACCTGCCCGTCTGTGTGTGTTTGCGTAGCTCTTGTTCGGTACCTGCCTCAGTCCATATGTGCTTTGTTCTAACAGAGGTGACATCATCGGCCCAGATTCCCAGAATACCGTGGCTGCTGTTGCTGTAGCGACTGGCGAGTCACCATTACTTTGCCCCGCGTGCTGCCCAGACATCGCAGCTGCCATACACACTTAATTACTATGACAGGCACGCTAGATATCTGCACACCTCATCTGTCTGTTCTCGCCGTCACTCTGTTCGTCATTGATGTACATCACTTTCGTCAAGCACTATGAGACACTTTACAGAAAGATGTCAATTATTGACATACATTATATTTGTAACGTTGCAGAGACGAGATGAGGCAAACAGAAGTGAAGATCTATGTGCAGGAGTTTAATAATAATTCAGGAACCAACAAGTAATCCAATATGGGTAAAACAAGGAACTCAGACAAGGGCAGGGAGCAACCATCACAGGTATACAACAACTGACAAAGACTAACTGAAACACTGGGCTATTTATACACAGAGACGCAAACAGGATAACAAGGAAACAAGACATACCTGGGAAAGGAATCAAGACAACCAATAAAACTTGTAGGACTACAAGTTGACT